GAACCTCCCTGATGACATGGCACATGTAGTCACACACCATGACCCCCTGCCTGGGGCTCAGAAGTGTGATGGGAGCATGAAGGCACATAGTAGTGACCTGAAGGACTGAACTTCTCTTACCTTCTGACTTGATAGGATGCTCTTTAGCTGGCCTACCAGTGATGCTGCTTGCTTGCACCTCAGGCTGGTGGTTACGCTTGGGCTGCTGTAGCCCCAGACCCAGGAAGAAAACTGGGTCATAACCATGGCATTTGTTTCATTTCAGGTGCTGCTGGAGTGCTGGTAGGACACCCATTTGACACTGTTAAGGTGGGTTGGTTATGAAATACCTCTGTCTTTAGGTAGAAAACTTGAAGTTTTTCTAAGGAGTGGGGGAGGGGAAAAAAAAATCCCCAGACACTGTAGGAACATAAATCTGTGTTGGAAAGCTTGGAGTGAGCCTCCTCAACCTCTGTTTACAGACTTGCAGTCTCCAGCTCTTCAGAAGTGAAAAAATTTTTTGTATGTATTATTCAACCCAGTAACATGATAAATGTTGGCCTAAACTACAAGTTCATCAGTGCAGTAACAACACTGTAATTGAAAATATGATCTTACATTTAACTTAGATTTGTTCTAAGCTTGCTCCTCTGCAACTGTTCACCACTAACTGCTAAAACTACCTCTCCCTGTGTTTGTAACTCAAACCTACTTTGTTACTAGGTTGAAAATTTGTGGTTTGTTCCCCCCCCCCAAGCTCTGCTATTTACTCCTCAAGTATTAATTCATTACACTAGCTAAAGGGTATAAGTGCATAAAAATCCACAGCATGAAGCTTGTCTGGGGGGGGTTTCCTAAGTATTATTATGTGTTTTTATAAATTTCCAAGTTAAAATTGGTTTTCTGATAGTTGCTTAGCTGTATGCATTATGCATACTAAGGGTAGCAAGCCCTGTTCAAAGATAAGATTTGAAATCTCCTGGAGGGCCCTTCAGCCAAGGCTCCTAGGGGTCCAAACCCATTTTTTAGAATGGGATGACAACTTCAGTCATTTCTTGGCAGCCTTATCTAGAGTCTTGCACTGGAAGAATAGAAGAAGGGATGCCAATATTCCCTGCTAAATTAATACACCAGATCACTTGACTGCAGCAGATAGCGGGTGGCACACTAGAGCTATACTTGGAATACCTCTACCTTGCAGAATTTAGATATGCAAAGCACTGATAGTGTTACTGAGGTCATCACTGTATTCTGTATTCTAGCATATGGTTAATTCAATACAGATTTTCCTAGCTAGTAGATATTAGTCCTTGCCAGTCAAGTGCAAGCTGCTCAGATAGTAAAAACTGTATGTATGTTTTTCAGAGAATGGTAAATCTGTTAAGTAATTGGGTTGAAGTCTAGTATATGTTTTTCATGAATGGTATTATCCAGACATGCACACTTTTTATAGTGGTATGGGGCCAGCTGTCTTTTTCTCTCACCCCCATGCTGCCAAGTTTTACATGCTTAACTTAAGGTGACAGGTCATTTCACTGAAGCCAGCAAAATTGCTCATGTTCTACACTCAACTAAAGTTAAGCATGTGTGGGGTTTTTTTTGTTTTAAAGTGCTACAGCTTCTAGTGCATGAAACTAAATATTTAAGTGTCTGCAAAACTGGGTCTCCCGTGCTAGTTCTAGCAGATGTATTAATGCAAAATAGATGTTGGCTTTAGAAAAAGCATCTTACTTTACAATAGAGCAAAAGAGTTTGTTTCTGGATTACTTTAAATGTTCTATGAAATCCAGTGTGCCACAGTATATTTCCATGCCTGTTAGAAGGTTGGTATAAGTATTTATCTAATTTCTGCTAGAGAAAATACTAATGTTTGTGTTAATAGTCACCACTGTATATGGGAAAACTAACACCAGTCTTAAAAAAAGACATTGCATAACTTGTTGTGTATGTATATGTGTTAAGAATTAACCCTTTTTATAGTTCTGCAGCATTTAAAGGGCTAGCTGGTAGTCTCCTTAGACTGTAAGTTTTTAATATAACTGAACAATGGGAAAGCTGCTTAGATAAGCCAGAAGTTTACTTCTGTCCTGGTTTTTAAGCTCTCTTTTTTTTTGGCCAGTGATCATGTTTCACAAAGTGGGGAGGGGGATGGTGGGACACACAGGGAGAGATTAAGCTGGTGAAGTCACCCTGCAAAACCCACAACTCAGCTGATCTCAGAACTGGCAAACTCCTTATCCCTGGATTGTTGATGTAATGTATAAAATTGCTTTTTTGCTTTTAACTGCCTTTACTTTCTGAGCTAGGGGCTGTCTTCATTAACAGCAAAAGTGTTACTTTGTTGTAGATGACAGATAAGCCTCATCACGGGAGAGTTACCTAGTAAGTATAGCCCAGGTGAACACTTCTGTTTCTCTCAGTCTTAATTTATTCCCAAATGTATTAGTTCAAATAAAGATCTAAAAGACTTATGAAGCTTTTTTTCCTTTTTAGTTTTAAACTGATGTGTCCCTCCTCTACAGCTATGGCATGGAGGGAGCGGGGTTTAAATATCCCTTTTTTAAAAAAATAAAATGTAAAGTCTTATTCTGACCCTTCTTTCTGGTATGCATTTCTGGCTGTATACACTTCCACACACAATGGCTCCAAAACTGAATCTCAGGCACACTGTTGTTAAGGTCTCACCCACTACATATCCTTCAACATTTGCATTGCTCAAACACTTCTAAATCACTTATTTTGCACATTATTTAAATGTTTGGACTGTCTTGGGGGTGTGGTGGTTTGGGGTTTTTGCTTAGCCTTGAGTACCTTTATGCAAGTCTTTAGTGATGTGAAATGATAGTATTACTGTTGGACCTAAAACCTTAGTAACAGGGGTTTCAAATAAGAAAGCAATGAATAGAATAGAGGGTTAAACTTTGCACAATTCATCCTTCCTGAGTTGTATACACTAAAGAGCTTGCTGAATATGGCATTAATACTCATGAAATAAAGTTTTGTAGGCATTCCTTGCCTTACCTGGCAGTTTGCTAATGCAAGTACCCCTATGTGGTCATCTCTGTGCTCAAATGAAAGAGCAGTTTTTCATTCTTAGACCTGGAGCGTCAATAGTCTCTAAATATTTTGTCCTACAACAAGGCTTAATTAGTCAATATTTCACAAATTATTTAGACAAAAATAGTGGAAGTTGTATGTCACTAGGGAATTCAACCTATATATAGAATATGACTAATTCTAAACTACTAAAGACAAGCGTATAGAAAAGTTAAAGTCAGAAGGTTCCTAAGCTGCAATTCTCCCAAAGGCCCTACACATGGGGAAGTCCTTGACTGCACAGACAGGGTTTGAAACAATAGCAGTAAGTTATAAATGGAATAAAACCTTTATTTCATGCAATGCTGATAGCTTGTTCAGATTTCTTTGTTAAAACTCCTCAAGAAGCAGATCTGCAAGCAAGCTTCCCCCCCCCCCCCCCCCCCCCAATGTCACTTTGGGTAACAAAGGATTTCTTTTCTTTGAATCCTGCTGTAATGCTATTTTTAACTCTAGAAAGTTTTAAAACCCTGTTCCATCTTGGAAGACCTGGGGTGATCTCAGCCTCCTAGTCTGGCTAGCATACACTAACGTGTATACTAAAAAGATGCTGAAAATGAAATTTTTTTACTTAGAAAACATAAAATGACATGTTGTAGGAATATAAAAAATACTGAAACTGTAAACAATGTTTTACCTCAAAGAAAGCTAACCTGAATATAGAATTTTGACAAACCACCTTCCCCAAATCCTTTTCTGGACCCACATCATCTTATGGGTCTTTCATTGTTGCAGTGGTATTTATTATTACTTTAGGCAAACAGGGATAAAACTATTTTACAGTTGGGAATCTCTCATATAGACCTGATAATATTTTCTTTTGTTCAGAATAAAAAGCTTGAAGTTTTTTGCCTTGGAGTTGCAGCAGCAGCATTAAATGATTGATGAGTATCTTTTCTGAGAACCATTGCAGCCCTTCATGCTGGAGATCAAAGACGGATTTCTAACTTCCCCAAGCCAGTGAAAACAATTTATTGAGTTTATTGCAGTGTAGGGTTTTGCACTAATAAGGTAGCTTTGAGGCTTTTATGTCTTGTTTTAAAGGTGTTGAGGACAAATTAGCAGGAAGAACTGAATTGGACTTTTCCATTAAATGTTAAAGAGCATCTGGGCAATTGGCCTGTCTCCTAATGTCACCAGTTACAGTAGCTTCTATCTGTCCAGCAGAACAGACCATTTCAGTTTTGGAAAAGTTAACCAATTACTAACATTAAAGGTTTGAAACACCCGCACAAATTGTTTGCATTTAGTGAGTTAAGAAACAACAGCAAGCCCACAAAAAACTAAAACCTAAAAGGACAAGTGGATTTTTATTCTTTCCTTATGCAAAGTAAGACACATCTGGAGAGTCTCTTCCCAGCTACCCTCTGAAAAAAAACAGATCTCAGTGAAGGGTCCTGACTCTGATCCCCAGAAACACTGTGGGTGGTGGTGTTGAAAGTTTCCATCCTTTTAAAATTATCCTTATTTCATGCTTCACTTGTAAATCATTTTTTATAAAATTTTATCAGGTTTGTACAGATAGTCCTTAGTGTGAACGGAAGTATTCTTGGCAGCTAAAGAAAGTACTTCTTGTAGCCAGTACCGGAAAACTTCAATCTGAAATTCTAGATAAGCGTACCCTGTTGTACTTCCACGTCTTGTTTTTCTAAGAGTCACAAGAACTTAATAATCCTACTCCCTTCATGTTTTTCACCCCAAAAATTAATTCAAAAACACTTACAGAATATTTTTAAATTATTTTGCCACATGTGGCATTCCCGTGTCCAGCCTGTGCTCTTGCATATACATTGCTATAGCAAATCTCCATACATGTACAAGACACTAGTTTACCAGTTAGGCTGCTCTTGACATGCAAATCAGTATCTCATACGACTTTTTATAGGTTCGTCTACAAGTTCAAAATGTAGAGAAACCTCTCTACCGTGGGACCTTCCATTGCTTTCAGTCCATCATAAAGCAAGAATCTGTAAGTACAAAATTGATGCTTTACATATTTTGTATCTTCATATAATTTGTATCAGAAGGGTGGGAAAGCTGTTAAGAAACCCCTACTAATATTGAAGATCAAGAGAAAAACACTCTGAACCTCACCTGACCATAGGGCAAATAGTGTAGTCAGAAATTTGCCAGAAACTTCATCGAGATCATCACTAAGTTGGAAGTCAATAGTTTGAAGTTAACTTTTTAAATAAGGTAAAGAGTTATTCAAATAGCTAATTTTCTGAGAATTCAAGCAATCTGAGCAATGAGTGAAGGAATCAGTGAGGTTTTATTTCTGCTGAAGCTTTAGGACCATAACTAAAAGTGTGACTTTAGGCTTTTAGCTACTTAAAAAATAAAGCATAAAATTTACCAGAAAACTTTTCTCTGGATAGACTAAGATTATTTTCTGGATGCGTTCAACTATATATTTCTACTGCTAAAAATGTTTAGCTGTTTGTGTCCTAGGCAGCGATGAAATTATTATTACAAAGCAAGATAGTACTGATCTTCGGGCCACCGTTAGAAAGTTAGGGCACAAGGGAGAGGCAGAAAGGCCGTGTTCTGCACAGTTTCAGGTTATCACCACTGTTAAAAAAGGATGTTTTCCTTCCTATTTCCATCAGGCTTTTGGACTCTATAAAGGTATTGGGTCACCAATGATGGGACTTACCTTCATTAATGCGCTTGTGTTCGGTGTACAAGGAAACACGCTTCGTGCTCTGGGAAAAGACACTCCTCTCAACCAGTTCCTTGCAGGGTCAGCGGCAGGGGCTATCCAGTGCATCATCTGCTGCCCCATGGAGTTGGCAAAGACAAGAATGCAGCTCCAAGGAACAGGTGAATACAAACTAAAAATGAAGCTCTACAAAAATTCTCTGGATTGTTTGATCAAAATCTATCGAAAGGAAGGGCTGAGGGGTATCAACAGGGGCATGGTCTCTACGTTCATAAGAGAGACTCCAAGCTTTGGCTTTTACTTCCTAACCTATGACTGCATGACCAGGTATTTAGGCTGTGAAGCTGAAGACAGTTATGTTATTCCCAAACTGCTATTTTCGGGGGGGATGTCAGGAATCGTGTCCTGGCTCTCAACCTATCCCGTGGATGTGATCAAGTCCCGGCTTCAGGCCGATGGAGTCGGAGGCGTTACCCAATACAACGGCATTTTAGACTGCGTCAGAAAGAGTTACCACGAAGAAGGCTGGAGGGTGTTCACAAGAGGTCTTACTTCCACCCTTCTCCGTGCTTTTCCTGTCAACGCAGCTACCTTTGCCACTGTCACTGTGTTCCTAATGTATATGAGGTCAGAAGACAACCTTCGTGAATGTGAACCGGGTCCAGTAATCCAGCAGCCTTCCAGTTTGTGAACCTTATCTGTTTGTTCTCCTGATCCAACACCCAGCTGGTTGGGTTTTTTTTTTAAATGTAAACACTTGACCCGCACAAGTGGTACAAATGTATGCTATCTGTATAAAGAGTTCCTAAATGTGTCAAATTAGGATTTCATCTCATTACTTGTATAAACAGCATATTGCCTTATTAAGAACTTCAGATCTAGTAGTATCCAAGTAAGATGGGGACCTGCCTTTAGAAAGTACTGTACAGTTACTGTTGCAGCTCCAGAAGAGGATCTGGAGGATGTCATAGTACCAAAAATCAGGTTTTCTTCCACTCATGTTCTGAATGACTGAGTTGAGTTGAATGCAGAAATGTTTTCAGAAAATAAATGCTCTTTGTGTATGTAACAGGAGTAAGTATAGTCCTCTAAGGTGAAGTAGTAGGAGGAAACTAAATGTTGGAAGCTTTTTGCAGGTAACCCTGAGCTATTTAAAACATGGACTAGCATTCAGCTAGTCCTGTGTTTTACTTTTTCTCTGCTTTTATATGTCAGTGGTTTTAGTAGCAACTTTGTTCATACTGGTTTGCTAAAAAAAAAAAAAAAAAAAAAAAAAAGTTTGTTCCTAAGCTACTCCCTTATCTTTCAGCTTTGAATAAATATGTTAAGCATAAAGTTAGCATCTACACTCATATGCACTTGTTCCTTTAAATCTCAAGGCTTGTAAGGATTTAGGGAAACTCAAATCTAGTAAGATTGACGTTATTTGCCTTCACCTCTATTTCTCATTTGGTGGGTGCACGGATTGATTTGACTAGATTCAGCCCAAGTAGACTTTGTTCTCCAAAGTTCATGCGACTTTGCACCACTTCTCCCAACATGCCCCACAGCAGCCAGTGATGTGCAGAAGTCAAAGTCCTACCCGTGGTATTGTGCAAAAACATTTGTGGGTGCAATGTTAGCTTAGCAGCTTGAAGTACTGTAGAAATACGTACGTGTTTAGAAGGGGAGATGTCATACCTTTCCAGAAAATAGGGCTGTAAGTGTCTGAAATGGTTGGTGTTCAATACACTTGCTTTACAAATTTAAACAGTACTGATTTTTATGTATTTAGTTACAGTGCTACTGGAAAGATGACTGAATTGACTGAAAAGGGTTTTAGAGAATTTTCTTGTTACGTTAATTTGCTGTGATTTTTTTTTTTTTTTTCCTCCCCTAGCAGTCTGTTCAAGAGGGATTAGCCAGAGAGCTATAATTTAAGATTTGGAATAAGAATTACACATATTTGGCACAAATAGCCAGGAGGAAGGAGTGCATGTGTGTGAGAAATGTTCTAAAACATATCAAACTAGTTCAGTAAGTACAACTTGTTACACTTTTGGTTGGGACAAGTGCAATATGTGTTTAATTTATATGAATTTTTTAAAGAAACTTTATTTCATAGCATTTTGCACTGTAACAAAATATGCTGGAGAAACCTGTAAAACTGGTATGTCTTTTTATACCTTGGAGGTATGTTGGATGTTTTAGTGCCTACTTGCACTGAGATTCAAATTGAATGTTAAATCTGTCTACTAAGCTGCATATGCACAACTCACAGCAAAGACCATTTACACCTTTGTACAGTACTCTGTAATTCATGTATATAAACCTGAGGGAATACATTTTTTAAAAATTTTGACTTTGGTTCTTTAAAGTTTCTTATGTTTTACTCAGACACTTCTTTGCGTTAAATCTGGCTTGCAAGAGGGTGGGGTTTCTGGCTTTTGCCTGAAGAAACTTGTTCCCCTTCTGCCTTCCATGCGGCACCGGACAGGCAGTGCCGGACTCTGGATTAGAGCATACCAGTTCACTGAAGCAAAGAAGGGCTTCTTCAAACTGATCTTTTCAGCAAATACCTCACTTGAAGATATTAGAGCTACTAAGAGGAGAGCCCTGCTTTTAGAGTCAAAGAGCTGGCAGCGTGTTTGGACCCTTCATATTCCACATTTCTTTGGTTTAAGCAGTGCTGCTCAGCACCAAGGCTGCACAAGTGCAGAAGACAAGTCTGGGGTCCCTGCAGAGTCACATCAGAATCGAGTACCAGGTCTGCCAACAGCACTGTTCATACCTCAATCAAAAGAATGCTTGGCTCCAAGATGCAGAAATTTAGCAAAAACTATTGTAGGGGGTTTTTTTGGGTGGGTGGGGTTTGACAGCACAACTAGCCCTCAGAGTATCAGTATTCCAAATAAACAAGCCACACAGAAAAAACCAGGATGATGCACGTTATGACCTATGAATAAGACCTCTCCTTGCTGATGAGAGGTTACTGCCTCCACCAATTCATCATCTTAAAGGGTAGATACACATGACCAAAGGAAACCCTGTCAAGCATCATTTTGCTAGATGAGAAAAGGGAAAGGCCACCACTTCTCTAGTAACTGTGACCAGGGGCAGTTCCAGTCAAGCACCTTATGTTTGCTCAGCAGAAGCAACAACATTGAACGGTGGCACAGAAACAAATACTTGGGAAAAGCAAACAGTGTCTCCCCAGAAGACAGTAACGTTAAACCAGAAAGGGCTACACAATGTTTTACTCTCAGTATTGACTAAAACATTATCTCTAGAAATTCATCCATCTGGAACTTAAAAGAAACACTCAGTAGCAGACACTAGAGGTTACTCAACAAGCCTCAGAGGAGGGTAAAAGCCAGTTTTCAAGCTAGTCTGATGTTACTTGCTCGAAACCTGTGTGAGTCTGAACTATTGCATCAAGCTAGACACCAGCCTCAGCAAACACGATTCAATTCCTTATGGCTAGGTTTTTGATGTGTCAGCCAGCTTGGCCAAGTCAGACAGAACCATGTTCTGCCTCTCCAGCTCCTCCTTCCCACAAGCACCATGATACTGGGTAGGAGATGCTCCTTTAATACCCCAGCAACTGAAGGGGATACCAGTGTTACAAGTTGCAGCCACAAATATGCTCAATTAGCACAAGAGGAAAAAGAAGTTCCCAGGTACAACCCTTCCAAGTTTTAAAGTTATTATAGTAAACCTAGTGGGGTGAAATTCAGTTCATTTATCATGTCTGCAATCATAACACGACATTATTCATAATTTTTTTTCATCCTCTCTTCCTTGCCTTTCTCTGCATATAGCTTTTTTACAATTCACATGAAAAAGTAGCAAGACATTCAAGGGCTGAAAGCCTGTGCATTGCAGGGGCAGGACAGGTAGCGCACTGGGAAAGTTACTAAGATGCAAGTACAAAAAATTTGCCTTGCAGAGATGTGTTTGTTCTGTGGAATTAAATGTATTTACTATTATGCTGGAAAACAGTCATTAACAGCTGCTGTTAGCCAGACTTTTGATCTGTGGATAGTTAAAGAACAACTCAAAGCCCAGATGTGTGCCTAACACTTAGATTAGCAGAAGGTGCAATTAAACCTCTCTTCTGCTAGAAAAACAGCCAGAGAAAACAGCAGCTTACCCAAGGCAACATGCCATATCAAACACCGCAGCCACAGGTGAAGGATCTAAGGGACTGTATGACTCTGGGAGGCATGCCTGTGGAGTAGGGAACCAAAGAACTTGCTTGGCCAAAGCTAGTGGAGATAAGCTTTGAAATAGTGAGGAAGCAAAATGATCCTTTCAATGGTTGGGAATTTATGTATGTTCATGGGCCGTGGAGTAGGAAAGCAGAGGAAAATAAGCCATTTTCATCCTCCTAGCACAACTGTTTTGAAATTTTTATACTAGTGTTGTCCTTGCAAATTACAAAAATGGTTATCACTAACAGGGAAAAAAGTGACATACTATGCCCAATAATATATATGATATACAGTAAAAGCCTGTATACTTATAGTTTATTATCAGTTTTAACTGATTTGACCTAGAATATGACATTAAGCTATACAGTTTCATCAATAAATTGAAAGCAAGGCAAGGTCTGCAGTGAAAAATAATACCCTGTACATTGATATAATTCTCACTGATATGAGAAAGACAAGTTCTACCATCCATAAAACATTCTTCAGGTCTGTAAACCTTGACATCTAACACAGTTAAACTGCTTCTTGGTATCATTCACTATTACTGCTGTTGTGATTTAACCTGGCAGGCAGCTAAAACAACCACACAGCTATTTACTCACTGCCCCC